CATCCAGTAACCATGTTTATATATAGGTCCTCCTGCATATGACTAACCAAAAAAAAAATCTTCTACGATCTTTAACATTTCTTTTTATTTCCCATGCAATAAGAATTTTTTGTACCTCTTCTCATTTTTATTTTATGCTTATGCAATCGAGTTAATTTGCAATACTATTTTTTTTCAAATATTACCATAATTTGAATTTTTTAAACAAACACACAAAACAAAACTGAAATTCCAAGTAATTCATGTCATGCTATTGTCAAACATATAGTATAATGTTAGTTTGTTCTATTTACCAATCTAACCTGTTTTCATGTTTAACAAACATATAAAAATGTGTTTTGTTATATTTACCTATATAACTTCTATTAAAAACAAATGAAATTGAAGGCTATTTTTGCATCAGATTAGTAAATTGAATAAAAATAGCATTTGATTTTATGTTTTAAATAGCATGACGTGGTTTCTCACTAATTAGAACACATATCTATTTCTATTTTTTTTCCTCTGTACCTATATCATGCATGGCCTTTATTTTAAACATAATAAATTAAATAATTGTGTACATTGGTAAATAATCTAATTTTATTTATATGTTTTTAGATAGTAGGATTTCCACCCAGTAGACTCACATCCATTTTTTGAATGTTATGTCTCATTTTAAACATTCAACAGCAGCATATGTGGAGTCGAGTAATATGGTAAGTTTGACTCAATTTCTATGAAGAGAGGAACACTAAAGATGAGTAAGGACACACCTTTTAACTGCACCCAACAGAAAGACAATGTCAATATGGTAGAGAATTTTTTTTGTTCATACTGGTTCCTCATGAATCTTCACTTAATTCATATTCCATAATTTCCCTATAGGTCCTATTATTACATTTTCAGCTAATTCCAATTCTTTCATTATAAAATTGTATTAAGAGACTAAATTCAATGAAACTTGGTGGGCTAGTAATTGACTTTTTTCTTGGCACTCCACAAAACCAGAAATGAAAATCATGGATCAAATGTTTTTATTGATTCTTTATTTAGAGTGTTCAAACTGGATCTGTTCTTTCTTTGGTTTAAATGTTTTTATTTGGTTCTTTATTTAGAGTGTTCATGCTGGATCTTTCTTTAGTTGGTTCAAATATTTTTTTTAAAATATAATTGAAAAAAAAAAAAACTAAAATTGACTGTGCACCACTGGCTTTTTTTTCTCGTTCCTAACGGCATGATTTTTAAATTCTTGTGTACAAAATGCCAAAATCAAGAAGAGAAAAAAAGTTACAGTTGACAATATAATCTATACTATTAAAATAAAATAAACAGAAGACAACAAAAGAGGAAGCATAGATTCGTGTGACCAGATTATTAAAATAAATATCCAACCGTTCGATAACTTATCCCACATCGACATTTGGACATTGGGTCAAACAATACAAAAACCAAAGTTAAAGAAATAGAATTATATTTCTTTTCTTTTCTTTTAATTTCCCCAAACAAAAAAAAAACTCGATGGAAACAGTGTTGACGACACGGCTCCATTAACGAATATTCCGTACCTTAAGCCTCATACATTTCCCCTGTCTCTTCTCTTATAAGGTTTTTCTCCCCTTGTTTATCGAAAAAAATCCAAAAATGGATCGTGTCCGAAAATCAGATTTCTTTTCCATTGTTCTTGTTCTGTGTTTTGTCCTCAACAGCTTACTCTGTAATGGAGGCGTCACCAGTAGATATGTCAGAAAATTAGAAGCAACCATTGATATGCCTCTTGATAGCGATGTTTTTCGTGTTCCTTGTGGCTATAATGCTCCTCAACAGGTTTCACAATTTTCTTTCAAATCTTTACATTTTTTTTTAATAAATTCAACAGTCTTTTATGAGTTTTGTGGTGGGTTCTGTTTTTTAAATTAAATTTCCAAGCTTTATTTTGGTAGGTGGTGTTTTAGTTATCTTTTTCATTTTAAATATTAGGTTTCACTTTTGTTTTCTATTGTTTAATCTTGTTCTAATGGCAAAAAAGCTTTTTATTGGACGATTCTGATAGATTCAAGCTTGTTAATTGGGAGTTTATAAAGATATTAACTTTTTCATTTCTTAATTTGTAAAAACAATTTGATTTAATGGGTTTTTGATTTTGGGGCAAAAAGGTGCATATAACACAAGGAGATGTAGAAGGGAAGGCAGTGATAGTATCATGGGTTACACAAGAAGCTAAAGGATCTAACAAAGTCATTTACTGGAAAGATAATAGCTCTAAAAAGCATAAAGCTCATGGCAAAACCAATACTTACAAGTTCTACAATTATACTTCTGGTTATATCCATCATTGCCCCATCAGAAACTTAGAGGTTTACCATCATCATTTTTAATACTACCATCATCTTTGCTAGTATTGTTGTTAGCTGATGTTGTGGTTTTCTTATTACAGTATGACACCAAGTACTATTATGTAGTAGGTGTGGGACAAACAGAGCGTATGTTTTGGTTCTTCACTCCTCCTGAGATTGGTCCTGATGTTCCCTACACTTTTGGTCTCATTGGTATTGTCCTGAAACATAGTGTCATGGTTTTAACTTTTTTTAAAAAATGCATTTTATTAGCCTCTCCCATGGACTTGATCTGTGTTGCAAATTTTTGTTTTGCAGGGGATCTTGGGCAGAGTTATGACTCAAACATAACCTTGACACATTATGAGAATAACCCAACAAAAGGGCAAGCGGTTTTGTTGTTGGCGATATCTCATACGCTGATACTTATCCGGATCATGACAATAGGAGATGGGACAGTTGGGGAAGATTTGCTGAAAGAAGCACAGCATATCAGCCTTGGATTTGGACTACCGGAAACCATGAACTCGATTTTGCCCCCGAGATCGTAATGCTTCTTGCTTCATCTTCTTTGTTTTTGCTTTAGGCTTAAAAATGCTATAAGAGCATCTAGTTAGACTAAAGATTGAGATGGATTGTTTTTATGTTAATCTGTAGGGGGAAAACAGACCGTTTAAGCCATTCACGCATAGGTACCGTACTCCTTATCGGTCATCAGGCAGCACAGAACCATTCTGGTACTCGATTAAGAGAGGATCGGCTTACATAATCGTGCTAGCTTCATATTCAGCATATGGCAAGGCATCTTAAAAATCTTGACCCTTTTTGTGCAATATTCTTAAACCAAGAGTAAGAGGACCTGAATATTCTATCTTTTCTTGGACAGGAAATACACTCCACAATACCAATGGCTCGAAGAGGAGTTCCCAAAAGTTAACAGGACGGAAACTCCATGGTTGATTGTTCTGATGCATTCACCGTGGTACAACAGCTATGATTATCATTACATGGAAGGTGAAACCATGAGAGTGATGTATGAGGCGTGGTTTGTCAAGTACAAAGTAGATGTAGTTTTTGCAGGTCATGTCCATGCCTACGAAAGATCGGTAAGATCAAACTTTGGCTCATTATGTCTCTTTAAACTATAGATACTGAGAAATGTGAGCTATCATGAAACCAGGAACGTGTATCAAACATAGCTTACAATGTTGTTAACGGCATTTGCACTCCAGTCAAAGATCAATCAGCTCCAGTCTACATCACCATTGGTGATGGAGGCAATATTGAGGGATTGGCCACCAAGTAAGCTAACATTTCTTATCACTGGAACCGATTTTCGATTAGATTCTACAGAGAATGAGTTTGAATGTGTGATATGGTTTCTTGTAGAATGACTGAGCCTCAGCCTAAGTACTCTGCCTACAGAGAAGCAAGCTTCGGGCATGCGATATTCTCGATAAAGAACAGGACGCACGCTCGCTATGGATGGCACAGGAACCATGATGGTTACGCGGTGGAGGGTGACAGAATGTGGTTTTTCAACAGATTCTGGCATCCTATTGATGATTCTCCTTCATGTAATTCTTGAGAATCTATAAGAATATAATTTGTTGTATCTCTATGATTGAATAACAATGAATAAATGCATTGTGAGTGAGTTCTTTGTGCCTTTAAGACCAAACGTTAATCAGACAAAAAAAAAGTGTAGAAGAAGAAGAAGACTGGTGAATACACATTCTGTTTGGTATTGTCATGAGTGAGTTATCTTTTTGAATTTTTTCCTTATACCACATTTCCCAATTGTCTCTTTCCACAACTAATTTATGCTTAGTAAGTTAGTATACTCATTTTTTTTTGGCTTAACGCAAACCAAGAGACCTAGCTCATAGGGACTTTAAAGTTTTAATAAGGACTTTTACTCTTCTCATCAGTGCCTGATAAAGATGAAACTTCGTACCATATTTCTCATGAGACTGGATACCCAACAATTTTCATTCATGTTGTTGACTGGTTTATCATGGCATTTTGAGACTTGACTCGGTTAACTAGCTTACAATTCTTGCATACGGAGGACCTTCACTTTGTTCGATATAGCCCATCAAAGAGAGCCACTAACCATTACTTTGGGTATAGAGTACAGTACACTAATAAGAAATAAAATATAAAATTTTAATAGTTTTTTTATACAGATTTTGAAATTTAGTTTTGTGTACAAATAAATTTAGAACTTTCATTTTAGGAGGAACTAGAACGACGGTCAAAGTCTATGTGGAACTGGTGTTATATGAAAATTCTAAGAGGGAAATATGACCCAACCTCTTTTCTTTCCACCAAAACATCATTTTATTAGGTTATCGGACGAAGACTCTCTTCTTGAGAGAGGAAATCCAGAACCGATGATCTTACATGGGAGTATAAAGAACCTCGTACTCTTGCTTTTTTAGCTAGACAATCGGCACGAATATTTTCGCAATGTAGAATAAAAAAATGGGAATGAAAGCTTCAGAAGCTTAAAATGTTGAATCACTACTACAAACATATATCTAAAATGGTTATGAACTCAGAACAGTTGATCCAACCCTTAAAACAGAGGAAATAGTAAATAAAAACTAGTGAAGTTGGTTAATAAGGGGATTAATAAGTGAACTTTAGTAGTGGATCTCTTTGAATGGACAAAAAGACAACCGTTAAAAAAACGAATTTTCATAAAGTAGAGGGTTTAATTTGTAATATAATTCGGTTATTTTAGTTTCTTGTAAAAATTTCATGATTCGTCATCTTCGACTTGCAGATTTAAAGTTTTCAAAATTCTCAGAATTCAGAACTTGAGACTGATCAATTGATTGATTTTCACTCATCACTTTGCAACGATTCGATCTACGGAGGCTTAACGACCAAGTTGGATGCTCGGAAAATTGATCAAAATGGAGGAGAAAACCGGATCATCAGAGGTAGAGATCGGTGAGAAAGACGAAGCTAAGAAACAATCAAAGGATCCTGAGTTTATAAGCTGTATGATGCAGCCAACAACAACCGATTCAGATCCACAATACATCGGAATTCGCCGGATTCTTCTTCATCGGAAAGCTGAATCTGGTGTTATCTCTCGCCGCCGTTATGTGAGCATAGAGATTAAGCTTTTAAATTCCTTGTTTCATGTGTGTTATAGAGCTGAGGTTTGATTTGTGGTTTCATTGAAGGATTGGAGATGCAATGGAAAAGGATATGTTGCATATCGTAATTTCATTAGCAAACCTAGAAAATGGGAGAATCTGAGAACGCCTAGTCTCTTAAGTAGTCCAGGAAACAGGTTTTAGATCCTAATCTTACTTGTTTTCGGTATACAATTCTGTGTGTTTGGTTGCTTATACAATTCTGACGTCAGGTTAATTTACTGGTTGATGCTTCAGTGGTCGATGGTTACCGTCTCCGAGTCCTCTTTCTCATCAATTTGAAGCTGAGAGCTTTACTTCTAGTAGAGTAAGTAGAATTCATCACTTCTTATCAATGGACTTTGTTTTGTTCTGCGATGAACTTATTCAGGTGTTTTATTTCTAGGATTTACGGAGTGTTAATCAGGTTTCAAGCCGTAGAGCGAGTTTTAGTTCAAGTTTGAGTGATGGTGATAGTTCTTATCGTCGTGGTGGTGTTGAACATGCTTATTCGTTTGTTGGAATGCATTGCATCTTCGATCAATGCAAATCTTCTGGTATTTTATTTATTGTTGTTTGTGTTTAGTTGACTCACTTTGTGTTTTTTTTTTTGTTCTAAGAGTGAGTCTGTGTATCTCTTATGCAGTTACTGTTCTCAAGTTTGGCCACATGAGTTCTGATTTACTTGCATATGGAGCATCAGATGGAAGCTTAACAGTTTGTAGTCTCTTAGAAGAGCCTTCTGTCCTCAAGCAGTTGACAGGGCACTCTAAAGATGTCACAGGTTCGATTGACTGGTACTGTTACCTTTGTCTTTTCTGTATCTGCTACCCTGAATTGCTCTTGAAAAATCTGAGAATATGATGCATGGTACTTACTTTCTATGCTTTGTTAGGGGTAAGATTTGAGTGGAAAATGTAAAAGAAATTATCTGTAATGGATAGAGCATAAGTGTGTATGTATGACATTTTTTAAGATCCTATGTCTAATATTAATACAAACTTCTTACTTTATTGTTTCTTAAAATTCAGATTTTGACTTCTCGTCAAACAATCAATATATCGCGTCATCATCACTTGATAAGACAATACGAGTATGGGAGTTGTCAAGAGGCGTTTGTATTAGAGTTATATATGGAATCTCTCCACAGTTTTGTATCCGTTTCCACCCTGTAAGTTTGATGTTCTTCATCATCTATTTATTTTCCCTTGTAACAACTTGCAACTTTTTGTTTTGATTGTGAAAGTCGTCTCATATAAGATACTGAGTGAGGATGTTTGTGGTTTTCTCTTGCTTCTCCATTGAAGATATTTTATCATATTTTCAACAGGTTAATAACAATTTCCTCTCTGCTGGCAATGCAAACAAGGAACTCACGGTAACTGCACTACTCCTTGTAGCTAAGTACATTTGTATTTTGCTTTTTTTGTCCTCGAATTGTTTACTTATTTTGTGCCTAACACCCTCTGCTTGACAAAGTAGGTGTTCAATTTCAGCACTGGGAGAATTATTAAAAAACTGTTGTTCGAGGATGAGGTGACATCTATGGACCATGATCACACTGGCCAAATAATTTTCTGTGGAGATGGGCAGGTAACTTTTCTCTATACTGATGTCAAAAGATAAAAACTAGGGAGATGGTCTATTATGGTTATGGTTGGCTATACCGATTACCCATATTGTGGTCAAGACTGATCAATTTTTGCATTGTTTGGTATGCTAGAAGGGGTAACATGATGCTTTGACCATTAACTAGATAAAAGTTTCTGTGGCGTTTCAACATTGTTCTTACAAGGTAGTTAATAATAATTGCAGGGAACTATATATTCAGTTAGCATGGATTCGCATACAGGTTCATTATCCCGGTCTCATCGCCATCGTACTAATCACAAATCCCCTGTCACAACTGTGAAGTACCGAAGCTTCTCCCTCCTGGCATCAGGCCCTGTTCTGCTCACATGTACTCAGGACGGAAACTTGTGTTTCTTTAGGTTCAGCAGCAGAACTTCTTCTCCTTTTGTTTCTTGATTTGCTCACTTTTTTTTCCTTATTGATCCTTATAATTGATTGTTCTGCTTTGTGTTGGTGATGCAGTGTTGCTCTTCAGATAAAGGTTATCTGACTTTGCGTTGCTCCCTCAAATTAGCCCCGCGAATACACAGAATCCAAGCATCGTTTTGCCCGCTATTATCCCTAGAGAAGGAGAATACATAGGTTTGAATTTCAATCCTTCATTTACCTATGATTTTGGTAATAGTAAATACATATATCTCTTTAGAACTGCTAGTAATCTGCTCTACGTTTCTTCTTGTTTGAAACTACAGTTGCTGGGAGCGAGGACTCGAATGTCTACTTCTATGATCTAACCAAACCAAAGCACACATGCGTAAACAAGCTACAGGTTAGACAATTTTTTTTCTTACATCTGATATTTGTGTAGGAATTAAAAATTGTAGGAAACCAGACTCACGAGTTGTGAGAAATGGATGCTGCAGGGTCACAGGTTTCCAGTAATGTGTGTTGCGTGGAACCATGGAGAGAACTTGTTGGCTTCGTCTGATTTCTATGGTGTTGTCATTGTATGGAAAAGAGCAAAGACAAGCTCATAAGGTTTGTCTAATATTATAAATGAATCTAAATCCGCCATTTTGCCAGAAAGGCTTATGGTTTTGCGGTATCGCTAATCTCAAACTGTGTCAATTTAGTATGGTTCTGTGACAATCATATGCGCAGATTCAATAGCTTTAATGGTTGGGACAGACGCGTCCATAATGAGTTAATGACTCTTTCTATAGATAAGTTGGTAGACATTTTGAAGAGATCAAGATAATTGTACTCGCAATGTTTTTGTTTTGTCACATTATTATGAACCAGATTAGTTAGCAGTAAAATTAATGAAGATTACATTAATGAATAATGACATTCCATTGTAGTCTAGTTGTTCAAGATACTCAGCTCTCACCTGAGAGACCCGGGTTCAAGTTCCGGCAACGGGAATATTTCCTTTTAGTTTATGTAATTGAAGAAGAGCTCTCCAGAAAGAACTTGGCTTAATTGAAAAGCAAGCTGGTTCATCTAATCCTTCAGGGGACCAAAGACTTAGAGAAATGTGGCTCTAGGATTAATATTATATCCAAATTATGTAACTAATGAGCATTTGGTGCATGTAGTGTGGAAGTGGTTGCTTATCATGGTATGGTAATTAAACTTATTTCAACTTTATTTTAGCAACAGAATCTGAGTGTTTTTGTGTATTAATTCTTTTACTAAAACCAATAGAATCTCAACTTCAACGTGAGTAGGGAACAAAAAGCTTTAAACATTTACAATTCTCTTATTTCCCAACCAAAAATCTTCGGCTTCATGTCATATTCGATATTTATCTCTGTCCATTTTCCATTATTATTTTTGTTATTATTATATAGATTTTTTTTTTGACAATCTGTTTATTATATAGATTAATAGTATTAATAATAAGAAGGGCTGGTTGGTCGTCGTATATTAAGACACTCTTCCCTATCCACTGACTCTGTCCATTGTCCAGGTCTCTCTCTTTCTCCTTCTGCCATCTCTCTGTCCCAATTCAGACATCTTTCCCTTCTTTTCCTTCGCCACCCATCATTTCACGTTCTTCACTTATCCACCCCAAATTATATATTCATTACTATTTTTATTTCTTTTTCACGTTTTTATCCTCGAAATTTGCAGTGTAAATAAAATACTTACCTATGTTTCAACACACGAATAGATAAATTAACTGTGTACATTTCGTAATTTTTTTAAATAGAAACTAACTAAATCACTTAATTCACAAAATGTCTATTTTGGTCTCTCCATGCAAAAAATATACACATGTTTTCGAGTTTTTTCCATTAATACCGTTGTTGTATAATGTGTACTACGTCCTATATAACCGGGATATAACCTTTCAGTGTAGTAGTAAAGAAAAGTGGTACCACCATTTTCTATCACACAAATCTCTCACCACAAATTTTAACTAGACTTATTTCTTAGAGCACCCACAGTGGTGCATGTGGGTGGGTGTGTATTAGTGGGGATTTAATAATAAAATAATGTAAAAAGTTGCCAAATGATTTTAATTTTCCAATTACAAAAAATAAATGACCAACCAGACGCTGCCACGTAATCCCACATCCGGTTGTAACCTTACATCCCACTTGCGACTCCAATCCCACTTTTCTCTTATTTTCAAATACTTTAATGCTCACACCCGACTTAAAAATGTACCAGTGCGTGTGCTCTTAGGCTCTTACCACCATTTCGTACCACAAATGAGACTTATTATAAATGTCTTGGAGTTGGTATCTACTCAATTTGTGTCTGCTTCTTAAATCGTAGAGTCCTCCTCCATGACAAGATATGGACCTACACTCAGTGAGAAGAAAGTAAAAGTTAGAAAAATTGTGGAAAAAAGGAATTAATCCATAAATACCTAAACTCTGTGGGCACAAGAAGACAAAGCTAAGTGGGGAAAAAGGCCACTTATTCATTATTTATGAGAAAGAGATAAGAATATATGTGTTTAGTGTTATTTTCTTGGTTTGTGGCATGTTGGGATACTTTTAGAGATAGTTTGAGCATATGGAGTAGTTTAGGGGTAGTGGGTAGTTTTTTTTGAGTTTTTTCACTGTTACAAAATTTTAATACAACTTTACCCTTACCACATTAAACCCTTTAACCCAACCTTGGTTAACTTCTAAATTCTCATCCGTCGGATCTTGTGGGGGAGATCTAGATCCAACGGCTCAAAACAATCTCCAGATGAGAGTTAACAGTGTGTTGGTAACGCCGACAAACTTGATTTTAGGTTTTGCTCCCCAGAACGAAACATGGCTGCAGAGGTAAAAGTTAAACTTGAATGTGGATATTGGAAAAATTGTGGATTATTGTTGATGGTTGTAAGAGTTTTATCTTATTTTTCAGGGTTCATTGATAGGTATTGTATGGTAATTTGCGGCGAATGGGGATGTTCGGATCTTCAAGAATGGGAATTCGATATCAACAAAATTCTTCTGTCTAGAATTGTTCCAATTACTGACGGGATGAAGCTATGCGAGTTGGAAGAGGTTGTGCTAAAAGAATTTGAGGTTAAAGCTTCAACTTTGGGAAAACCCAGATTTAGTTATTTGCCGCCGAATATAATGGATTACACGACGGGAAAGAAAACTCCTCCGATATTGGTTACTAGTGAGGTCGGTTTGAAATTCTTCATTGAGATGTTTCTTAGGAACAGAGGATTGAATTTGTTTGTAAATTTCGGTGAAATTACTGGGAAAAGGATTACTGATGGAGAAAATCAAAGGGAAGAATATGTTGGTGGGTTATGTGTGAAAAAGCAATAAAAGAGTGTTTTCTTCCTCAAGTGAAGGAATTGAAAGAAGTGATGATGACATTGGATGGGAGGCTCCAACAGCCGGTTCAAAAACTCCAAAGATTCTAACCAGTCAAGATGATGAGGCTGTTTTAGCGGAGGTTGAAGTACTAGAGGCTATGTATAAGATAGGCGATGAACATGTGATTAGCAGTGGATGTGAGGGGAAAAGTAGAAGTAGTGGTAGTAGTGGAGACTTTGAAGATATATAGAGGATAGTGAGGAAGAGATTGAATTAGGAGAAAGTGAAGTTGAAGTTTCTCCAACAGGATATGATACAGAGTTTTGGGGGCATTTTTTGGATGATGAGTTAGCTGGTTCAAATGCTCCTGAGATAATGTGTAGTCCTAGGGAATTTAGTCCTCAAGTAGAAAAAGGTTTTGAAGATGACTCAACAGCCATGCCAGTTGGAGGGCAGATGGAAATTCAGACAAGGAAACTTGAAGATGTTGATGACGAGGAGTTTGATATACCTCCACTGTTTGATGATTGTGAATATGAAAGGGATGAAATCCCTGATCTTGATATTGAAGATGATGAGAAAGGAATCTTTAAGGGAAGGGTATATGCAAGTAAACAAGATTGCCAAATAAGCTTGGCTATCCATGCAATCAAGGAACAGTTTTACTTTAAGCAAACTATAACAAAGCGTCATTCCTTTGTTCTTACTTGTGCTGATGAAAAGTGTCAGTGGAGAATAATGGCTCATGAGATGAAGACCTGTGGTTACTACCAGATAAGGAAGGCTGATTTAGAGCACACATGCAATATAGAAACAAGGGGACAGTACATGAAGAAAGCAACTTCTAGAGTTATTGCATCTGTGTATAAAGCAAAGTAACAGTAAGATAGCTCAAGGGCCTGTGCCTATGGACCTTCAACAGATGGTACTTGAGGATTTGAGGGTGACAGCGACTTATAGTACGTGTTGGAGAGCACGTGAGAAAGCTGTGGAAGAGTTGTTTGGTACTGATGATGACTCATATAAAGCTCTAGAAGAGTATCTGTATGTATTGAAACTTGCAAATCCAGGAACAGTTACGGATATCAAAACAGAGGCTGAAGAAAATGGGTGTCAAAGGTTTCTTGTATATGTTTTTGGCATTTGGGGCATCAATTGAGGGATTTCGACATCTTCGTAGGGTTGTTGTAGTGGATGGGACGCATTTGACTGGCAAATACAAGGGAGTGTTATTGACAGCTAGTGGACAAGATGCTAACTTCCAGGTGTTTCCCCTTGCATTTGCAGTGGTTGACAGTGAGAATGATGAATCTTGGACATGGTTTTTTGAGAAGCTTGAGCGTATTATTGCTGACAGCAGTACCATGACTATAATTTCAGACCGTAACCAATCAATCTACGTAGCTAAGAAGAAGGTATTTCCTCGCGCTTACCATGGGGCATGTATAGTTCACCTAGCACGTAATGTGAATGCTAAATTCCATAACAAAGGTCTTGCTAATCTGGTTAAGAACGCTGGCTATGCTTATACTGTCAAACAGTTCAATGAGATTTATGCTCAGATAAGCATGAAGAACAGTGAGTGTGCTAATTATCTTGAGAGGATGAAAACCGGGCATTGGACTAGGGTCTATTTCCAAGGTGAACGATATAATCTAATGACAAGCAACATTGCAGAAACTCTCAACAATGCATTAAGAAAAGGAAGAGGGTCCCCTATTATTGAATTGTTGAAGTTCATACGGGCGATGTTAACAAGATGGTTCAGTGCAAGAAGAACGAAGTCTGGGAAGCATACAGGGGTAGTTACTCCAGAAGTAGATAAAGTATTGACGAAAACCTTGCAAAGGTCAGAGGAAGCAAAGTTGGAATGTTCATACTTGGAGTTATGAAATTGTGGGCCTGTTCAATGGAAAGCATCAAGTATCTCTTGATCGTAAACAATGTACTTGCAAGGAGTACAATAAGCTGAAAATACCATGTGGACATGCTATGTTGGCAGCAACTAGTATTGGTCAATCGTATGGATCCTTGGTAGGAGATTTTTACAAGACAGCAGCTTGGAGAGCAACATACAAGGGTGTAATAAATCCTGAACTCAACCTAAAAGACGTTGTTATTCCAAATGGAATTAAGATTGCAGATATTTACCCGCCTCGGACTAGAAGGCCACCGGGAAGACCTAAACAGCTGAGAATCAAATCCATTGGGGAATTTCCTGGTTGGATATTTTGAAAAATGTTATATTGGAATATAATTGTTAATTTTGAGTTATAATTGATTAATGTGGTCTTATGTGGAAATGCAGAAATCAAAGACTGTCAAGGTGAAAATCAACAGGTGCGGCAGATGCAAAAAGACTGGACACAACAGGACAAGTTGTACTAATCAATCTGAATATTTGTTTAAATCGTTTTAAAACTCGGCTATATAATGATCAGCACGTTATTTTATGTTTTTGTTATAAGACTGTATCATTCATGGATAATGTATGTTGTAGTATAAACCTATTGTGTTAGTTTATATTTGATTTTTTTGGCTCAATTATAT